ATAAAACCTTGAAATTGTTTAAGAAACAGTTCATACTGTGGTGGGAAATTTTATGATTTTTCTGGATGGACATACCAAAGTAGGGTAGATGTTGTTCCCCAGTTGTATCTAGCTTGTCATCTAGTGAGGATGATTTCATTTTAAGAATAGCAGTGACCAGGGCTTTTTTTACTCTCAGGGATTACCATGGCTACTGTTAACTATAACTCTGGTGTAATGCAACCGGCAACAGAACATACCTTCTTGTAGTTCTCTGGTAACAACTTGCCAACAATTTCAGCAAGACGTGTAAAGGAAGGCCTCTTCTCAGGCTCACTATTCCAACACTTCACCATCAGGTCATAGCTATGAGCAGGGGAATGGAAACACAAATTGAATTTAAAAATTCAATATTATTTATTAGAGTAATTTTATTTTGGAAACTAAAATCCAACAGCTTATCAGCTGGAAACATACACATCTGAAGAAGCATGTTCTGGTTTAGTCATCCTGTAGCCACTTTTTATCTTGTTATAAAAGTTGGAGTCCACCATCATTCCTGGATATGGCGTACCACCTAAGACAGATAAGAGAATCCCAGTTAGAAATAATGAGAGGAGATTGTCTTATTTAAACAGTAACTCACATACAACATTAAAAAGATCAAAATATCGAACATAATCTTTTCAACAATTACAATGGATCACTCAGAAAGCTAGTGTGAATGAATTAAGTTAGCACTGAATTTACATTTCAAAGAGTCAATTATTAATTTTAAAAATGTAGAATTACCAAAGTTAGGAAAGTGTGATATGAATATTGTAAATGTTAGCACTTTTAATTACTTAATACAGCTAAAAACTATTGCAAAATATATCACAAACATTTTCACTAAATTTCTTGACGCAACTTTTTCACAGTTTTTAGAATAATGAGCAGTCCATAAGCAACGGTATCACAGTTTAGTAAGATAATAAGTAAGATGATTGTGGGGGAGATAATAATATCACTGGACCAGTAATCCGGCAGCACAGGCTACATGAATTCAGATATCCCTACAGTCAGTGGTGGGATTTAAATTTAATTAATAAAAATCTGGAACAGAATGTGAGTCTCAATATTGGTGACTGTGAAACTATTTTTTTTGTTCAAATGGATCACTAATGCACTTTACTACTGACACCCAAATTCCATAAAGGAGTAAAGTTTTATCATTGCAGTGATGAATTAAACAGCTCATTAAAATGTCAGAGTGTTAGCTCCCTATCAAAAAAAGTAGGCATCTATTCCCAAGATGGGTCAGCTGCAAAAAATAATAATAACTGATCCCCACAGACCATGATGACTCCAGGTCCAAATACTAGTCTATTCTGCTTGCCTGTTTTCAGTCAGACTAGTGGTTGAGGCATTACAATTGCATTCAGTTAGCAGCCAGGAAAACAGAAACACAGCTAATGATTCTTGGGTCTTACTGACTTCTGTTAAGAGATGGGCATATTAGGTGAGCAATCGAGCAGGATCCACAGTGATCTCTTTCCTAATGAATTTACCTATCCTAACTCTTAGAAACATGGATCATACATCAAATATGATTCCATCGAACAACTACTCATGTAAAATCAATTGTTAGAGTGCAAGGAACTTAGTATCAACACATAGTTTGCACTTACCCAAGGAGAATATTTCCCATAAAAGAATGCCATAAGACCAGACATCGCTTAGTGAAGTGTACAGGTTATCAAATATGCTTTCAGGTGCCATCCATTTTACTGGTAAAAATGTCTGAAAATATAAATTGAAAAAACCCAAATCAACTTTAGAAGTAATAGTATAACCATTTAAAAATGCTATTATTAATAAAATACAACGATTATAAAAGAAGTTGTAAACTAGTGTTTACTTTCAACTTTAAAACCTCAAAATCAAATTGTTAAGTACCCATGCTGCGAAAGTATGGAATGTCTTTCAATGCAGGCTTTACTTTTGCATTAACGACAAAAACACAAAGTGGAGATTTTACACCTGATGATCTCAGATACAGTCATGCTTGAATTCCCCTTTTAATATCATTTATTTTCAGGTTGCAGAATTCTTTATGAAAGTATTTTCAGATTTGAGCCAACTTGAGCCGATACTCACGCTGCCTTTAGAAACATAGTTGGAATCGTGCATGATGTCCCGTGCCAGACCAAAGTCACAGATCTTGACAACCTTTCCCTGTGCAAGGAGAACATTACGAGCTGCCAGATCACGATGTACACACTGTGACAAAACAAAGAGCAAAACTTCCAATTTTACTGCATTATTAATACAAGGCAAATTGGTCAAAATAAAATGAGAGCATTTGTGGATCTGCATAAATAAGCCTTTGCGTAAAACAATCATACATACATTTTTAGAAGCCAGAAACTCCATTCCTTGGGCAACTTGAAAGGTGAAGCTGATTAAATCCATAAAGGAGAGGCCATCTGAGCTGTCATCTAGGAGAGGGTTCCAAGCTTCACTTGTCTCTATGGAGTAAATGTTCTTTGTTAATAATTGCCAGTCAACAATCTGAAGCAAGAGTTTTAATTAATGGGGAACTGGATGGTGTTATGAGTTAAAATTCTGATCTTCTTGGACCTGGCAGTAAGTGAAATGATTCTATTCAGTTGCTACTGAGCATGAACTCACAACCTAAAGCAACACCTCTTAGAGGAAAACTATCATAAGAATTGAATGAACCTTTCTTTGTTATGATGACATTGTTTGCAAGTAATGAAATGATGTATTTCAAGCCAATTTATTTTGTTATATCCCTTATTTATAAGCAAAAATGGAAATAAAACATGAAACATTTTCTATGTAGTCTATGCCACTTTAAATTCTTGGTGAGTGCATTATGTTGCATCTTTTAGAAGTCCATTTATAAAAAGACTCTACACAAACTTAAGCAAATTGAAATTCATCCACCTATGTTCTTGCTCACACCAAGTTCTAATCATTCATCATCCCTGTGCTCCAAGTTCAGCAAGTCCTTGATTTTACAATTCTTATCCATTTTTTCCAATTCCTCCATGATCTCACCCCTCTGCAACCTCTGCCAGCCTGCAGCCCTCGGAAAATTCTGCACTTCTCCAATTTCAGTTTCTTGTGCATCCAAAGATTTTAATCACTTCACCACAGGTGATTGCATTTTCAGCTGCTGAGGATGAAAACTCATCTCTAAATCTCTCAGCCTTTCAACACCTCCTTCTTCTTTAAGGTGTTCCTTTAAAGCTACCCTTTGACCAAGCTTTTGGTCATTAACACGAACACTCCTATGAAATAGCAAGGGATATTTTGCGTTGTTAAAGTTGTTTTATAAATTATAAGGTTGTCAATGTAGTGTATTTAAGACAATTACAAAAATGAAGTTTAGGAGGTTCTGCTGCACCAGAATGTCATCTCACTATGTTTGGAGTGAAGTTAATTTCTATAAAATGTTCAATGTTGATTAAAAACTAATCTCCAATCCATTCAGTTGTTTCTTGCACTTCTTCTTCAGTCAGATGTTCTCATAGGTATCACTAAATAGAAACAAATAAGAGGATGGCTGGCTCTTACCTGTCAATGATTTATTTTTCTGTGATGGTGGGTGATCGTAAATGTGTTGCTGTATATCGGTGTATTTGGAACTGCCTTTCCTTTCCAACATCGGTACATACTGGGTATTTTCAGCTTGTTTCATGTCCATGTATTCCCCATTGTTTTCAAAGGACAGGATCACATAACTACAGAAACAATAGAATAGCATTAATCCTCAGGCAAATTTACTAATTACACAGACTTGTTCAGGAAATCACAGTGCAAACATTAAGAGTTTTGCATTAGCTAGTAGAGAATCCTTTCCTCCAAACATATAGTTAATGGTCCTTTGTGTGTTAGCTGTAATTCTGAGGATAAAATTAAGTTTCACCAGTCATGTGAAAAACAATCAAAGTGCATTGGCTAAAAAGAAAAATGACTATGGTATAAAAGATTTCCACCTTACAATGAGCACATTTTGAGTTGCTGTCAAAGACTAATCTTACTTTCTAAATGCTGTTGTGGCCTTGATTTAATTTTTTAAAAATGCATGTAGCACTATATCAGGTCTTTCAAAAATGTCTTATATTTGAAATACTTTGAAATAGATCAATGTTACAACTACTTCACGAACAGCAGAATCCCACAAGTAACAATGAGAAGAATGATCAGCTTAATGTTTTCTTGGGTGAGGAAGAATTTTGGCTATGGTATAAGAAGAATTTGTCAGTCTTCTCTGAATAACATGTGGTATCAGATGATTCCATTTGAATAATTGAAATAAGCTTTGGTTAACATCTTATTCAAAAAGCACATCTAGCAGCACAGCGCTCCTTCAAAATTATACCAGAGTCTCAGTCTACGTTATATACATAAGTCCTCAAGAAGTTTCCAAGTCTATAACTATTAATTGAGTCAAGTTGCTAATTAAGTGTTTTGAAGTTTGTTATATGAGTTAGAAAGGATGATTGATGACTCTTTTATAAATTCTGATATATTCTAATTAACTTGAATTTAATAGCTGTTAAACACAAAATGTTAGATTTATCAATCATTTATTTTTCATGCTTTTTATTTAATAGTTTCAAAAAATCCAATCAACATAAGATAAAAGCTGGCATCAATGATGACAAGGTCATTGGCATCAATCTCTCAAAACAAGAATGATGTTGGCTCGACTTCATGATTTATGCATCCTTGGATGCCTTAGTTGGACAATCCTGGGGCCACAGGTCTTTGGGCAGTGAGGACAGGAGTTGTCCTGAGAAAGAAGGCTCCCAAGCCAGAGTTCTCTCTCTTGTTCTGTTTCAGTCACTTCTCTAAACCAGGCTTCATCTGGTCAGTTTCCAACTGCATTGTGGTTTGTTAGATAAGCCACTGCTACATGGTATGATTACTATCAAGTTCTTCCCATGCACTAATGCTCATTTGTCACATATTCAAGAAGGCTTTCAGAATTTCCATGAAACCTTTTCTCTGTCTTCCACAAGATCAAGTGCCAGCCTTAGGTTGCGGAAAGATAATCTGCTTTAGAAGCTAATTCTTTGCTTTGTAATCACAAACTCAATCACAGTTCCTTGTGGAACTTGCTTTTGAATGAGTTCCATGCCTAGGCTGAGATAAATAGAGGAGAATTGACAGAATTACACAGCCTTATTTAATGCCTATCCTGACATGAAAGAGCTCTTTCTCCGATCTATTACAAAGCACACTCACTGTCATACAGTCGGGCAAAATTTGCAGGATAGTAACAATTTCTTCTGGACATCCAAGTCTCTGGAGAGCTTTCAAAAGAACTTCATGATCCGTGAAGTCAAAGGTCTTTCACAGATCAATGCAGGCCTTTTGCATTGTCCCAGATACTTTTCCTGGATTTGTTGAGAAATAAAGGTCATGTCTGTGCTCCCCTAGATGGCGGAAAATCACAGTGAAGTATGTCTTGACTGTTGCATAGGAGGCAGACTTGTGTGAAAACCCTCCCACAGAGGACAGTAGGGATACGACTCTATAGTATCCACACATTGATTTATCACCCTTTTGTAAAAAACAAACAACATTGACATTGTGCAAGTCAGGTCTTAATACCACCTCTTCCCAGAGTTTTGTAAAATGATCTGACAGTTTCAACAAGAGTTCATAACCACTAGCTTTATGGATTTCTTTAAGAATTTTGGCTGTAACACATGTCTTATTATTCTTCATCCATTCATTTTACTTTATTTAGTATCTTCAAAAATTAATCCAGGGTATGATAAAAATAACTCTACTATGACAAGTTTCCGCTAGATCTCCCACATTATTCTTTTGTTGCATGCAAATTATTAAAATTATATCACTGTTCTTTTAAAGACAGTACTTTGTTGAAATGATAGATTGATTTGGTTGATATCACTTCAATCTTACTAAAAAATTATTATGAGAGAATGTCATCCTATTAAGTCACTGAACTCACCTTCTTGTGCTTTCATCAGCAGGATTTATACCAAAAATATCCACTTCCTTTTTTCCCTTTTCAGAATATCGACTTATAAAGCTGTCTCGGTTCTTATGTAGGTAATTTACCAAATCTCCATGGAAACAGTACTCAGTGATAATGTAGATAGGACCTATTGTACAGAAAAATAACTTAGTACCATGTATTTCAGAATAAAACAAATTTTCCTCAATGTTGTGCTGAGTGGCACAAAGATGGGCTGGTTGTAAAGAAAAATTTGAATCTTAACTTGACATCCTAGTGACATTTGCAGTTCCCGTCCTAAAGATGGATTCAACCCATAATACATTAGAAAAGAGGGGAAAACAGGAGAAATACCTTGAAAAAGCAACACTCACCTGCTTTGGTACAAGCTCCTAGCAGGTTAACAATGTTTAAATGTGGGCCTAGATGAGTCATTATCTTCAGTTCTGACATCAGAGCTTGTTTCTCACTGGATCGGGCTGTAGCTGTAAAAACATTTGAAATACAAGTCAGCTATGAAATGCTAATTGAAAAATTACACATTTTATAATATTTCAAAATTTCTAAGATACATTCTATTGAAACAAAGTCACAAATTTATCAAAGAAATGTAAATTGTTTAAAAGCAATTTAATTAAATGACAAGATGCATATTTACATCACTTTTATAGAATGCTTAATATTATTTCCTCCCTTTTGTCAGTCTCCCTTTACTGATCACCATGTGACAGCTGTTCCTAAAGTCTCTATTAATCACATAACAAGATATATAAAAAGCTCTGCCTGTAACCTTCACTTCCTGCACGTGTTTTCACTTGCCTATTTCACTATGCTGAAGCAGTACTTTCCCGTTTTAAGGACACTTATAGAAGAAGGTGTCATAATTGTGAGTCATTTTAACAGTGATCATCTATTTTAATCATAAATAGCCAGTTTAAAACCTCTGAGGTCTGACTACAATGCACAGCGATCGTCTGTGAAATATTTATATCTGTAATCTGGCACTGCCCACAAAACAAAATTCATTACACATATAACAAGAAATCCATATAAAAATATATTGCAATAATTGATAAGATTTCCTCAAAATAACTTAATGTCAGAACAACAGGTGCTGTGTAATGTATAAAACAGGGTGACTTACGTTTCAACATTTTTACAGCAACTTTCATAACAGGCTGTGAGCGACTTAAACCATAAGCAGTTCCTTCAACTACCTTTCCAAAGGCCCCAGAGCCAAGTATTCGTCCTTAAAAAGCACAAGGGATATAATAATTATTGTGACAGGAAGAATTTTATCTGCAAAGTTATTTACCATAAGGTAAACTATCAGAGAGGATAGAACAAAAAAAAAGTCAGAATGGTCAAATTCCATTCCAGACTGCAAATTAAACTAGTATATTCACAAAAATGTGTGTAATGGTGTACTTTGTATTCTAACTTTCTACAATAAACAGTCATTTTTATCCACCTAGAAAAAAAACATTTGATTGGAAACAAATTAAGTTATATTTGACTGTCTGCTGCAGTTTCCTACCATTTTTACCTTTAGGTAATTAGAGGGAGATTATATGTTACCACTGGCAGAAGTCCTGCACAAAAATTACCTTTCACCAGTGCAAAAATGAGGCATCAAAGTTTTGCCCGAAACAACTCACAAACAACAATGAAGTTGTTTGTGTTTCAATCACATTGTTTGAGGAATTGGTCAGGAAATGACGGAAAACTGCCCTGTTCTTCAATGAAGAGTGCTACGAGATCAATTCAATTGACTTCAGTGCAACCATCGTCAGAAGGATGACTGTGTCAACACCATCCACTAGTTTTTATGTTTAAATCTCTGAAGTGGTCTTGAATCCATGGCTTTCTGACTGAGAATGCTACAACCGATGCATCACTGAAAAGACTGAAATGGGGGCTTAATTAAAAGGACTGGATAGTATTTTGAATTGTAGCTCAACTATCTTAATACCTCACTTTTGAGCATCTTCAGTTAGTGGCTAATGGGATACATATTTAAAACAGATGAAGACTTACCAAGGACAAGTCCATCCCTAGGAAACTCCCATCTTGTATCATAGGGAAGTTGCATGGGATCAACATAAATGTATTCGTGCCCATCTGGACTTATTGATTCAATGACTCTCCACCTTATCTCATATCGTGGTTTCTGTGCAAAACAATAAAATTAATGGCTTACAATATTGTAATGAGAAAATCCTTTCTTTTCCCTTCTGTCTTAATCAGAAAATATATACACATTGCTCTATTAAGTTGTATTTATATTAACATTACCAATATCTCAGAATAGCAACAAATTACCTGAGATCAAAAAATGCCAGCAAAATATGTTTACATCTTTTGAAAATACCTATTCTTTAGGATGTAATTTAATTGAAATAAGAATTATTTAAAAGAATCCCAAAAAGTTATTGCAGAGCAGAAAATCTTTGTATGAATACTGAGACGTAACTACTTCTGAACTCCAACAATGATGCTGCCAAATGTATGAGGTAAATGGTAGGGTCAATGCTTTCAATGATTTTAGAGCATTCCTCCTGCTAGGAAGTCAAATCGAGTGTGCACAAAATAGGGGAAAGGCGGGTTCACTCCTTCTAAACATGTGTTGTAGGTGCCTCTGTGGTCCACATGGTAATGAAACCATAATGAATTAACATTCTTTTTTTAAAAAAAGGTGAATTCTCAGGTTTTCAGGCCATGTTTCTAGATGAGATCCTCAAGTGGATCATGCATCTACTCTTTGTCTAGTTCACGTGATGTCATCAGATGTTCCTGTACCAATCATGTGCTAGCTGCCACAGATGACCTGGAGTACATAATTGCCAACCCTAATGCCACCCTCTTACATGTGATAACCTTGCAAGGGAAGAGCAAGGACTCCGTCCCCACAAAGCCAGGCTGGAACCTTTAGTGCAAGTCCAGCATTCTGCAGTTTGAAGTTTGAACTGAATCTCAATAAAATTATAGCAGGTAATTCGCCAAAATGATTGTGAATTCCTAGTTCCATCATGAGTGCTTGCAAGGTGAAGGTTGTCCCAATGTAACCTATTAACTCTCCCTAACAAATCTATTTTCTTCTGGGAAGTTACCACTCTTTATTCTTTCATGGGATCCAGTCATCACTGGGAAGGTCAGTATTTGTTGGCCATTCCTAATTGCCAAGAGCTGAGTGGCTTGCTTGGCTAATTCAAAGGCAGTTAAGAGTCAATCACATTGAAATGGATCTGGAGTCACATGTAGGCCGGCTAAGAGTGATAGACTTCCTATCCTAACAGATATCAGTGAACCAGATGAGGTTTTACGATAATGGCTTAATGGTCACCATTAGTTTAGCATTTTTTCTTAAAAAAAGAGGTATTAACTGCATTTAAATTCCACCAACTCTCAAAATGGGATTTGAACCCATGTCCCCAGAACATCAGCTTGGGTCTCTGGACTACTAATCCACCATCATTACAACAGAATTCCTATATGCATGGAAACTGATATGGTTAACAGGCCTATGTCTCAAGCCTTCATCTTCTGATTAGATGTCATCGTATTGAGTCAATTTACTTTTCACATTTAAATGAACAGTGGCAACCTTTTGTGAAAGGTGCACCTTTCTGCCAGAGAATACACTTAATTGCATTTTAACATCAAGGGACTTGCAATGTTTATTTACCTGTTTCCAAACTACAACGAGCACAATCAGAGAAATGATTACAATAACCAACAACACCAAGACTGCGGCAGCCACCGTCAACTCAGAATGGAGATCTGTAAACAAATGTTAAAACGTTGTTAGTCCAAGAAATCTATATTTTATTCATGTTTTCATTAGAACACTTTCAGATGTAAATTAAAGAGGAAGGCCAGAATTTAAGGGGTGATGGAGTTTCCCAGCCTAGCACCAGATGAGTCAGCAGTGAATAAGTTAACTGGCAGAAAGGGGAACTGTACCTTTCACTTGGCAGGAATGCCCACGTCACCGAACTGCTAGCCAATCTGATAAAATAATGGTTTCAGAGATAGTAGGAACTGCAGATGCTGGAGAATCTGAGATACCAAGGTGTAGAGCTGGATGAACACAGCAGGCCAAGCAGCATCAGAGGAGCAGGAAGGCCTAGACCCTAGGCCCGAAACGTCAGCTTTCCTGCTCCTCTGATGCTGCTCGGCCTGCTGTGTTCATTCAGCTCTACACCTTGTTATCTCAGATTCTCCAGCATCTGCAGTTCCT